CATAGCGCTCGACAGAAGAATCGTTTGATGAGCATCACTGTTCAAACGAACGCGTCTGCGATGATTGACAGAGAAACAGCTAAGGAGGAATGAAGATGAAGTTAAGTAGCCGCTAAGAACCGCGCTAGCCGTGTGTGTGCAGATCTTATCGATTACGCAGCTAAGGAACTTGCACTAAGTCCAAAAGCGGTCTAATCAGATACAATGGCGCGACTGCCTGAATCTTCAGTCAATTACTCAGAGTTACAGTACCCAAGTCCCAGACTGTCACAACACTCGAGCTGGATCCAAACGACGGGTTCAGGTATGTCAGAAGAACAGCGCAAGGACTTTTACGACCTCGCGTCATCTTTCACCCCAACTATCTGGCTGTTTGTTGACACGCAAGCCGGTATCTACAGAAACCGAGGCCCTGGAAATGTTCCCCCAAAATACAAAGCTTGTGCAAGAATACGATTGCGTGACAGCGAAGGAGGTTGCTAATCAGAGGTAGAACTTACGTTGTCAGCCTCCGGTAGAATATTTACGGCCAGACGGCACGGAAAGTCGCCTTGAAAGCAGCACAAAGATTTCGGCATATACAGTCTCTGGTGTTGACTCTGCGGAACTTCGGCTCAGCCTCAGCGTTGGCTGTGGTAGATATCGTCCCAATAAGTTGCAAGACACTATACAAACGACTGGATGGTTTTCGAAGGACTCGATGAGTAGAGTAAAAGTATTGTTATCAACTGTGAAACTGATTGCTGTGATTCCTAATATGTTCTCGAACTGTTGCACTCTCTGCCCGGTGCGCGGGTCCCAGAGCCAGAAACCTGACAGTGTCATCGTCCGAGCTAGAGGCCAACAGTCGCAGCCATCCACAGTCCCACAGTCTTTCTCGAGTCGGATGTCTCGGGCATTGAGCCCGTTGATAGAAATCAACTCCAATGACAACCTCGGATCAATCGCCGCGACTTGGCTTGTGGAGGCACGAGGGCAGACAGGTTGACTGTTGGAACGCACATCGCTATCAGATATTCTCAAAACTAAACTCTGCAACTTTTCTCCTAATATTGCGTTTATGGTGAGATCAGCCTTCTCATCCGCTGACCAAGCTTGTGAAATCCCAAAGCTTCTGGCCATTTGGGTGTGGTAACTCGCCAGGTCTTTTGAACGTTGTGCAAGTGTTTCTGAACATCTTTCCGCCCTGCCAAGGGTAAAGTGTCATATCCAAATACGTTGAGCATCGTGCGAGCCAGATCTGACGATTGATCTGAAGTCAGTTCCAGCCCCTTTGTCAACTCGAGTATCGCCTTTGTAACCTCAGCATAATCTATGTAGACTTTGTTGTTGCCGAAATTGGAGACCCCGGATTTTATAGTTTGCCAATAGCTGTGAGATAGGTATACAGCCTCCGAAGCATCTGCGAAACATCTGCAACGCTTCAGAAGCAACAGTAGCACTGAGGCATCTGGCATATCGGTCATTGCCGATGTGTTAAACAACATGGCTTCAACGTAGAATTTTGGACTGAGCAGATTCTCATTGATGCTGAGCTTTGCCTCAACATACGCACTCGCACGATATAGCACTGCCAGATATAGATGAGGATCTTCCACGTGTGACTGGACACGGTGAAAATCCCCCAGTAGTGACACAGACAAATCGCCATGGGCAGGCAATATAAACCCAGAATCCCGGTGAGGAGACTGATTAGTTTCGAGCATTGCGCAGACCATCACCGCCGCTTTGTCGAAACATCTTGCAACGGACGAGCACGGTCGGCCCTTGACACGGTTCATCTTTAGCGCGAATTCGTCGAAGTGGTGGATTATTTTGCCTGCTCCTTGCCGAGTTGGCAGTCGATGGCTTGTGATAAACGCGTCAATGAACACGATGTGCTTGAGGTGGGCATTTACGAGGTACCACGACGTGTCGAATGCGCCATTGGTGTAGTTGTTGAGCAAGTTCTGAGTCGCAGGCGAAGCGAGAAATTCTTCCACCGTTCGGTGCAGATAGTCCACCGCTGAATTCTGCCACGGGTAATCATCTTGTGGAATCTCTTTGTACTCCAGTAAATCCATGCACTGACTTTGGAAGAGCCGCCTCATCGACAGTACCCTGGCCCTGATAGCATCCAGACTCTCGTGATCGGATCCTTCCTGGAGAGCGAAGTCGGCACTCTCCTCGTCCGTAAAGGAGAGTATCATAAGCGATGGTAGAGTGGAAGATCGGATGGCTTTCATGAGCTGAAGGATTCTCGATACTCTTGCCTGATCCCGTGTGCTGATGGCGGACAGCATGAATTGAAAGTACTCGTCGAGGCCTTCGGGAATTTCCTCGAGGAGTTTTTTCGGCGACCTCAGGCCATCCTGCATCTCGGCCAAGAGCCTCTTAGTGACCAGGTAAACCCAGAGGAAAACCCCGGAGGACTTTGTGACGATCTCTTCCCGGATATGCAAGACCTGCTTTGGGTCCACGGCCTCCAGGTCTCGAAAGGCCTTGCTCTCCTGACATTCAGCCTCCACAAAGGCCAGGATGTCTCCTCGGGTCAGATCTTCCAGTCGCAGACAAGGAAACCCTTCGAAGGCATCGATGAAGACATTCCAAGGTCTACTTGAAACGCAGATTTTGACAGTTTCCAGGCCTCGCAACGACAGGAAAAGCCTGACAAGTTCCTGCCGCTCGACATTATCGCGGCCAAACTCATCGAGCCCATCGACAAAGAACACGACGTTTGCAAATTCAGCTATTCGTTGTACCGTCGATTCGAACATGGCTGATAGCTCAGGCACAGACCACGCTTCCGGGACGAAATTTGAGCTCTGACATGCGTACCACCGCCACGGAGCAATGTACTCAATGACTGCACAATCGACTCTTTTATCGATGAGTATCTGGAATAAGAGTGTCCTCAGCATTCCTTGGAGAGATTTTTGTAACTCTGTCCCTGGATTCCAGAAGAAACATTTGGCCACCAGCAGGTGCTTTTGTGATTGCCATTTTGACAGCAGCTGGAACGTCGTCGGTGATGTCGAAAGATATTTCATTAGTACCGACTTACCTGACCCTGGCTTTCCACTTTGCCAATATATGTTGTGCAACGGCTGAGGCTCCTCCAACCACTGTGCGAAATTGTCCCAGGATGCATCTCGTTGACTGTCCGGATGAAGGACCCATTCGAAGGTCTTTTCATGCGCCTGTGCTATGCTGCCGTACCGATCATCGATCTGATGGAAGCGAAGGTGCGAGCAGAATCGTAAACGAGTTTGCTCCTGCAAAACCTCAGCAACCTTTTCTTCCGCCAGGGCCATAGTAGGCTCGTGTTGGTGTATCCATGAGGTCAGAATGGGCCCCCGTAATGACTGATCTTGCGCAACGAGTTGATGACGAAGACTGGAGAGATAGGAGTGGAGTTCGTCTTTCAGCCCTTGCAACTCTGTCAAGATGCTTGCTGCTGAACCCGCTTGCAGTTCTTTCAGTTCACGAGTACCTCGTTCGCGCCTGTCGCTGAAACGGAATTATTTAGCATCGACTCCAAAGGAAGGGATCAAGGACCTACTCGTTGTAGAGCAGCAAGAACAGCATCAACTGTTGACGTGCATTGGACAAGCGTCGGCTTGCGTCGTCCAGTTTTGAAACACCCATCACACTGGACAAGGCATGGCGAAAACTCTTCCACTTCCTGTGGTCTCCCGACACGGTGAGTTTTCCCACGGCTTCAATGATCTGCTCGGCACAGTCCGTGCAATAACTGTAAGCCTCTTCGAGCTGGGATAAAAGCAAAGACTGGTCTTCGGTCAGCGATGTCGTCTGAAGAGACCGTAGGTCGTCCAATTTGTGAGGCAATTGGAAACTCCGCAACTGAACGGCTGCCTTGCGCAACTCGACATGCTCTGATAGTGTGTTGTACTTGTACAGTTCTGCCCCTTTCGAGATGAGTTTGGCAGTGAAATCCACGAATTGAATCGCATTCCCAGCGATGGAAACTGCTGTGATAGGATCCATAATGCGATCAATCTGTAGCCGATTCTTTAGGCGATGTCAGACGGGCTGATGAAAAGGAGACTCTCGCTATCAGTAAGGACCTGTAACGGAAGGGCTGAGGCTGAATCTCTACAGGCACCAAGAGCTGGCTGCACCTGCCCCGCGATCGAAATCAAGGTCTGAGAAAAGGCGTTAATCGCACGTTACAAGCTTTGCGCAAACTGTTTTATACCAAGTTCTGGAGGAAGGTGGATGTGATTACTGTGAATTGAATCGATGCTGTGCGAATCTGTCACCCTCACCAAGTCGAAGGAGATGACAGTTGACCAGAGACTTTGAGGTTTCCAACCACAGGCTGCCAACATCTTGACACAGCCCCAGGACAACGCATTGGGCTGCTGCCGAGCCAATGGCTCGTCCTGGTCAACTCTGGTCACCAATGGCTGGGTTACTGGGCGGTGCCAGTTCGCCTTGCGTGCGCCACAGCTACTCCCTCCTGCTCAAAAATCATAGACGTTAGTGATGGCGACAAACAGCGACGCCAAGATAAGGAATGTCACGGTTTGGAAGATATATGCCAAGACCTGGTATAGACACCAATTGGGCTTAGTGCCTAATCCCCCTTTAACTATCCTTTGCCTCGCCCTACGACTTTGTCGCACCTGGAAAGGTGATATGTAGCCCTTTGGACGACAAGTACTACAACTCAAATCATATTACGCCACTGCAAGGTGGATTCGATCCCGTCGCGGTGCCTCGTGATAGCAGATCTGTAAGGAAGGGGGCCCCTTTTGTGGCGCAGGCGCAGCCTTGCTTCCCTCCACCCAGCCCTAGCCCCCGTACTCCGCCACCCTTTCATCCATACAAGGGTTGACACATGTAGAGAATGTGTTTTCCAGAATCCATACAAGTTGGAAGAGGTGCCTTTTTTACCTATTTGAAAGGCTCGAGTACAGTGACCTGCCATCAGGGCGATACGGTAAACCCGCCTTTTGCGACCGCCTCGTTGGTGAGCTCATTCAGCCCTGACCCTTTCAAATTCGCTCAAACACAGGCATCACGTGCAGTGGACAATCCACCTGAACCTCCCTTCCACCCACAAAAGTCTGCCCATCTTGGACCTCCCCATCATCGAACCTTTTCCACGTGGCACCCCTCGGCAGGTACACCTTCCTCGTGGTCATGCCCGGGTACATGACCGGCGCGACGAGATACTTGTGTCCGAACATGTACTGGTCCTCGACCTCCCAACACCTCTTGTCGTCGGGAAACTCCAGGAACAAGGTCCTGATCACCGGCGTGCCCTTGTTGTGTGCTTGGGCCATGAGGTCGCGGATGTACGGACGGAGTCTTTCGCGCAGGAACAGGTACTTTTTCATGATCTGGTAACACTCTTCGCCGTAGCACCAGATTTCGTTCGGCGCCCCGGAGAGGCAGGTCGCGCCACCGGTGGTGCCGTGTTGGGGCTGCTTGGGCTCACGATCGCCATGGAGGCGGAAGACAGGGCAGAAACAGCCTGAAACCAAATCAGCATTACAGTCTCAGAGGGCAACGGCAACGTAGGCGGGGCTTCTTGCTTGATCCACTCACCGTATTGGAACCATCGAGTGCAGAGCTCACGGAATTCGGGGTACTTGGGATTTCCTCCATGAAAGCCACCTTGACGGAGTCAGCATAATTTATAGAGCAACGTTGACAGAGTTGATTGACCGATGTCCGTAGTCCACCATGGGATGCCCGCAATCCCCACATTCAAACCAGCCGCAAATTGGTCTCGAAAACTCTCCCAGCTGCTTGCAATGTCACCGCTCCACAGCAGCGTCCCAAACTTCTGACTTCCGGCCCAAGCACAGCGGATAAGATTGCAGACGTCCTTCTGCTTGCCATCCTTCACCATTCCCTGATAGAAGGCCTTGGCGTATTCCACTGGATATGCATTCCCGGTGCTCAACAAACTCCCACTATGGTACCGATAAATATCAAAGTCATAGGCACTGTACTCTGGCTCCGCTTCGTCAAGCCAAAAAAGCTTCACACCCTTTTCGTAATAATTCTTCTTGACAGTATTCCAGACAAATTCTCTTGTGGCCGGATTCGTGAAATCAGCGTGGACGGTCTCTCCTTGAAAGTCCATCGAGATCCGCAGTCCTCGATCTTGCCGGATCAGAAGGCCATTTTCCAGCATGTAGTCGTAGTTTTCAGATCGCTTGTCGACCGTCGGCCAGATGGAGACAAGGAGTTCAATCTTCATCGACTTGAGCTCCTTGATCATGTCGTCTGTAGTACCAAGCGTCACGACACTTCGTCAGAGCTATATTCTTCCACCTTGATAGCAGGGCCCTTTTCAGGGGTAGAGTGCGGCGAGAAAGAGTCGAGTTGGAGTTTGATGGCGGAAGGAGGAGGGGGAAAGTGGAATTCAGGCGCTGACTCTGTCGCCGACTCCTTCCACGTCGATAACAGTCTTCGCATGGCAGACTCACCGGGGTCTTTCCAGTATGTGGGGTCGAACTTCCATTCTCCTTGCTTCGGCCCTTTTACACCGTCAGTTTCCTGTGCGCAAATGGCACGTAGCCATCAAATAGCACGTGGAGACCTACAATGAAAGAAATCCACCACGATAACATCAAGCGGCAGATTCCGTCTTCGATACTCTCGTGCAACATCCAGAAGCTCTTCCTGAGTTTGATATCTCAATTTGCACTGCCAAAAGCCCAGTCCGTATTCAGGCATCATCGGTACCTTGCCCGTGATGTCCGCATAAGCTTCGATGATCTGGGTCGGGGTGTCACAAGCCACAACCCAATAATCAAGCACCCTCGTGGAATAAGCCTCGAAGCTCATCGTGTTCTTTCCCAGCACAGCTCTGCCGACGGCAGGGTTGTTCCATAGCATACCGTATCCTAGATTAGAGAGCATGAAAGGCACGCTTGCCTGAGAATTGCGCTGGGCCATTTCCAGGTCCAGTCCCTTGAGGTCAAGAAATGGTTGCTGATACTGGCCCATGCCGTAGATCTTCTCATTCCGATCAATGGATTCTAGACGGTAGGTCAAATGGTAGTCACCACCCAACAAGGGCTTGAACTCCCTTGCTTCGATCATCAAGGCGCTGCATTTTGGATCCTCGACATCCGAACGGTTGCGCTGGTACTCTTCAAGCAGTAACTCGCCCTTGGAATTTTTGACAGTAATCTTTCCCCGCGAAGATATCGTGGCACAGATATTGCCGTTGCTGATTGATGCATGCCCATCATTCACAGAAATAGATACATCGGTCTTGGGCGGCGGAATTGTCAAAGCCCAGTCTTCCGACGGCAGGGTATGAAACTTGGTGGCACGAATCCGAAGGGCATTCGGACCCCAGGCTTCGATCTGAACCCGTTCGGAATCGTAGGTATAGTGCAGAGTGTCATCTTTGGAGAGTAACATGGTGGGTTTCGTATTCCTCGAGCAGGCCGGTTTTCCTCAACGCGTCTTGACTTTTCGCACAAGGCACAGTTTTTATCTTCAGACCTGGTAACCGTGAAAGAATCCGCTGAGCCTCCCCGCCAGATCCAAGCTAAAAGTGAAGGTTGTAGTATCCTACCAGCGTGGATACTGCGACTTGCCTGATCAGCCACGGAACTTCTCAAATCAGCCATGCCGCCCGGCTGAATTGCGGAGATGGGTCTTTGATATCAGGCACATTTTCGGCTGTTCATGGGTTCCGTCCAGAATCCTCCTGACCAACCGTGCCACCCACACCAGCGCTCTTCTTGGTAAATATTCCTTGGCTCTCTTCACATTCTCGGTGCATAACCCCATATCTGAGGGTTGTGTGGGTGTGATGGGACGCACACGTGGATGGACGCGCTTGGGCACTGTGGAGGCCACCCGGCCCGCGGTGGAGAGTTGTTTTGAGCAATGGAAAGATCATTGGATACTGAAGCGGCAGTAATTGGATATTCAGGCGAGGAAATCGTTCCAACGGCCGGTTGGTCCCATCATAGTGATGATACACGAGGTGGACTAGAATTTCTATGCAATGCGGGATGCTCATCCATAGGTCCACGTGATCTACACAGGCCGAAGATTATCCTTTGTCACGTGTCAGGCTGGGTCACCCTCCACTCACTCCCCCAGGATTTAGGACGGACGATGAGGTATTGGCAACGAGATTACCTCGCACATGACATGCATGTTGCAGGGAACCTCTGATATTCGGCCTCGTCTATCCCATTCGTCCCAGAAAACCTCCCTAAGACAACCACTCCAACTGTACATCTAACGGACAGGCTCATCATGGCTTAGTCCTGACCGTCAAATCGTCAAGGACGTCCGCCGTCCCTCCCCTTTTGGTTTCAGCGACCTGGAATGCACTTCCTTCGCCTCCCATATCTAATCCCTTCGCCGCCCGCTCGTACGCCTCATCGCTCCGATCTGTCAATATCTTCAGCTCCTCTTCGCTGAGAATCGGTCTCCTCTTTCGGTGTTTTCCTTTCGCTTCGTTCTCATCATCCTCTAGATGCGGGACATCATACTTTTCAAACTCGTCGTTGACAAGCGCGCCTTTAACATCATCTGCATCAATGCCAGACGACAGAAGAGACCTGAATTTGCCTTTTTGAATGACCAGTTTCTCGAGTTTCCTCTTTGTGTCAGCCTTAAGGAGCAGAGCCTCCTCTACGGTTCCCCGTGTTGCAAGGCGGTACACAATGACAGGTTTTGTCTGGCCAATGCGGTGTGCGCGGTCCATCGCCTGTAAATCTTGCTGCGGATTCCAGTCGGAATCGAATAGAATCACCGTGTCTGCTGCAGTTAAATTGATTCCTTGCCCACCAGCTCGGGTGGTCAAGAGGAACAAGTTGTAAGACTTGTCCGTGTTGAAGTTGGTAATCTGCTCGTAACGCTCCTCTTGAGCGACCGAGCCATCAATGCGACACGCCTTCCAGCCGCGCAGTTCAGTCGCATACGTTTCCAATATATCCAGTGTGTTTTTGAATTGGCTGAAAATGAGGACTTTGTGGCCTAGACCGAAAAGTCGGGGGAGTAACGTGTCAAGCACAAGGATTTTCCCTGAAGCCGTGACGAGACTTTCATCAACGCGTGGGTAGTCGCCTGACTGCTCCTCGGCTGCTGTGCTTGGTTTCCATGGCCAGTAGAAGTTGTGCGGACTATTGCACGCCAGTCGGGCTTGCATCAGGGGGTTCTGAAGTTTCTTAGCGGCAATCTCCTTCTTTGCAAGCTTGAATGTTTGTGCTCTTTCGAGCTCTTCTGCGTCATCCGATGAGACATCTTGGGAGCCGGGAGATGGAGACGCGCGGTCCAGGCTGATGTCTTCTTCACCTTGTTCGATACGGCGAAGTCGAGCATTGAATTCCCGGTCTGTTACATCTCGATAGCTTGTGCGGGCTCCTTTGCGGCCCCGTCGAACGGAGCCGGTGGAAGCAATAGAGGCTGGTGTGGAATCTCGACTGGGTTTCAAACTCTTCTGGGGTGTTCCGCGGCCACTGGTGGCGGCTTTACGCTTGAGGGAAGCCGTGCGGCTTCTGGCGTCAATGCGTTCAATGGCCTTTTCTTCCAAATACGACCTGCTCGTGCCTGCGATGATCTCCCGATACAAGTCCTTCTGTTCGGAGGTCAGGGGTGCATACAAGATGTACTCCCGTTTCTTCGGGAGGTCTGACTCGACGTCCGCTTTGACCCGCCGGAGAAGGAATGGCTTTAGAATGGCATGCATAGTCGACACGAGATTGTTTCTGCGACTCAGCGTCTTCTCGTCAGCCTCCTGCTTGCCTTCCAAAACACTTGAGAAGTCGAACCACCGTTCGAAGCTGTCGAGGTCATTGAAAACCTCGGGGAGCAAGAAATGAAGCAACGACCAAAGCTCTGCAATATTGTTCTGTAACGGCGTGCCTGTGATCAGGAGTCGATTGGCAGATGTGTATGTCATCAACTCTTTGATCAATTTGCAGTTCATGTTCTTCAGGCGATGTCCTTCATCCACAATGATGTAGTTCCATTGATAGTTTGCCAGGAATTTTCGGTCGTTCATGCAAATCTCGTAGCTGGTGACAACGATCGGAAACTCGTATTTGTGCTGATCTTGGATCCTCATGCTTTTCCGCCTCATGGTTGCGCGCTCTTCCTTGCTCCCATGGTAGAGAATCGTGTTGATACTAGGAGTCCAGTATTTGAATTCTTCCACCCAGTTTCTCACAGTACTCAAGGGAGCTGCGATTAGAAAAGGGCCGGAGACATTGTTCCCTTTCAAGAAGGCAATCAATGAGATGGCTTGCAAAGTCTTCCCCAGACCCATCTCGTCTGCCATGATGCCGGAGAGACCGTTCATCCAGAGTGATTTTAACCACTCTAGTCCCTCGAGTTGATAGTGCTTCATTTTCCCTCCAGTGACTAGAGCAGGCTGCTCCGTTGCGATAAGGTCCTGAGCCCCGAGTCCTTCCCCTTCATATTCATCAGCGGCCTCTGCAAGGGCTTCCTGGACCGTGGGACCCTCCTTGGAGGCCTGAAGAGTATTCGCGTCGAAGTAATCAGTTATGTTTTTCTTTGCAGCATTGGCCTTCTTGGGCGGTCCACCCCGACCGCGCGTGACCCTCTTCCCTTCTTTCTCCGGCTCGTCTGCCACGCGCTCATCTTGAGCATGGCCTCTTGTAGACTTTCTTGTTGGGCCTTTCGACTCGGCGTTTTTGGCAGCTTCTTGTTTCTTCTTCGTCGCCGCCCGTCTGGCTTGCTCCTGATTGCGCTTCTGCTCCTGCTTCATCTTGTCCGCCATGATCGCAACAAAAACCGAGCTCGTCTTGAGGAGATTTGTAAGTGCCCGTGTCTTGTAGTCCATCTCTTCGACATTGTCTGTGTCCACCTCCATTTTGTTCGTATCTTGCTCTTTCTTGTTGTCGCCAGTCTCGGTTTGGACCTCTGCAATGCTGCCATCGAGTGGCGAGGTGGGAGGGGTGCTTTTGCCAGAAGACATAGCTGGTGTCGTTGGCTCTGATGACGAAGGCCTTGTTGCCATTACTACCGCTGTAGTCTAGGTGTAGGCGCGAAAGGGGACGCTGAAGGAACTGATATCCAGTCCGAGGCTTTCCGCGCAAGAGAGTCTCCGTAAACGACAGCGATGAGAGGATCAGAGGACAAATTGCCTCCCAATCCCTTAGACAAAGTATTAATAGAAAACAAGGTCACAAGTAGTCTGACTTTCCTGCTCAGATATCATTCTCGACCCTCGACCTCGACCTCGACCTCAACCCTGGGTGCCGTTACTGCAAAGAATATGGTGTCGTCACGAAAGGCAGAAAGACACGCCCTTTCGTGATCCACTTTACGCGTTCGAATACGCGTTGATCGGCGCTAAGATCTTTTTGGCCACAATCTTATCGTGGACTCAGAATGTCACAAGAATTGGAGAGGGTCAGGAACACTCTAGCAACATGGAGTGATTGTGCTCCTGTCAATATGGACCATTTATCTGGGTATTTCTCTCGTATAAAACAACTATGCAGCCAACCCCAAGTCATAATACGATCATCAGCACTGTACTTGTAGGACTTCCACATACAAATATCCAACACTCAGGTCTCATGCCGCAACTGTTGCCACAGGATTGGCACCCCTTCCAGCCACACGAGTTCGCTGACGCTCTGGACGGCGTAATGTGTATCTGCAACCTCATGTCAGCGAAATACATACACAGCGGAGTTTGTGACCTACTTTGCAAATGCTCTGGCAAGTGCCTTCTTGCAGCTCAGCTTTTGACTGCCGACAAATGAATCGACAGTCACCGCAATCGCACGGTCAATGTCTTGCGAAGAGCAGAAATCAGACAGTCTCATCTTGCAGAATGCTTCTGCAATTCTCATGATCGCTTCAAGATGACGGACCTGCAGAAGGAGTTAGCCACACAACATTATGCCTTCATCTGTCAATGACCAACCGTGATAGGGTACGCGCCCGTTGCGAGAGACTCTCTTCGCATATCTGCGAAGAGCCTAGCCACTTTATCTTGATCGATCTGATAGAGTTTCGGCCGGCACTTTTCTCGGGCATACATGATATACTTGCGGAGTAACTCCTGGGGAATTGCTCCTTCTTGCCGTGGTTCGCCATTGTTGATTGCATTCACTGGTTCAGTCTCCATGGCGGCAATGTCTCCAGCGTCTATCTCGAGTCTTGCGGGATGCGCTCGTCCATGGCTGTTGACCACAAAGTTTGCAAGCCGCTCGTCTTCATCGGGGTCAACTGTATCTCGGACCACACATAAAATGTCGAAACGAGACAAAATCGGCTCTGTGAGCTCGACATTTTGGCTAAAAGGAATAGTACTGTTGTATCGGCCTCCGCTTGGATTGGCTGCAGCAACGATGGCGCAGCGTGCCTGAAGCGTGGTGACAATACCAGCTTTACTGATGGAGATGGTCTGTTGTTCCATGGCTTCGTGGATAGAAGTTCGATCGGCATCGTTCATCTTGTCGAACTCGTCGATCAGGCAGGTGCCACGATCAGCCAGGACAAGAGCACCACCTTCAAGTCCCCATTCTTGTGTGAGCGGGTCCTTGCGAACAGAGGCAGTCAGACCAACTGCGGACGCCCCCTGTCCTGTAGCGAAGACTGCTCGATGTGCGGTCTTCTCGATATACTTCAACACTTGCGACTTGGCTGTGCCAGGATCACCAAGCAGTAGGACATTGATATCGCCGCGGATCTTGTGTTTGCCTTGGGCCTCTTTGCTGACACCGCCGAAGAGAGATAGCGCAACTGCTGTCTTGATATCCCGATGCCCATAAATTGAGGGGGCAATTGAATCAACGATTTTGTCCACGATGTTGGGGTCTTTCGAAAGAGCCCTGATTTGTCGTTCGTCCTCCTCTGTCAGTCGGAACCCAGCGAGTTGATCGTGTGTTTTGATAACGTGGTTGGCTTCAAGCATCGTTGCAAACACGGGGAAACCATTCTTGTTATTGAGCTGACCACTGTAGTTATTGCGATAAATCGCAGTCACTTCAACCTCTTCGCCGGGCTTCGCCTTGTCAATCAAGTCCGCAAGAAGAATGACTTCTCTGTGTCGTGGTAAACGACCCGCTGGCACGGTGCCGGGCGACTCCTGCAGGGTCAATTTCTGATAGTTCCGGTAGACGGTTTTCTCGCTGTTCAGCGTGAAAGGACCCCGCGACTGACAGTTCTGGCAGAAAGTCAATTTGACTTCGGTTGATGTTGACTCCTGGGCAAATGGCCCAAGAGTTACACCGCACTTCTGACATGTGAACTTGACCATTTGGAGTTGTGGGAAGACCCCAGTTCGTCTAGTAACCACTCCGGACACTCGAACAAGACAATTGAGGTGTGACTGTCGCAGTTGCCGCAAAGTATATTGAACCGGCAAATCTGAGATTCGAACATGGATCTCCGGGTGAATCAGTTCGTAGTTCGGATAATGTAGTCGGACGACCTCAAAGGCGGCTTTATCGAAGATCTTGAGCATCTCCGACGGAGCATTGGCAAGAAAGTATGCCAGGATAGCTTTGGTGGAGGCCAGATGATCGTAAGACACTTCGAGCGATTCTGAATTGACCTCTCCCAAAGTGCGAATGCGGGTACCGTACACCGACGTGCCGTTAGCATCGATGTACTCGGTAAGAAATGATTTGAACTCGCGAGCGATGGTCTTCATGACCGGAGGCAGAGTGACCCATTCGGTGATGTTCGATGCCTTGACGTCTTGCAACGTTTCCAAAGAGAGCTCTTCCTCCATAATATTTTCGTCAAGGTCCATGTCATCTTGATCCTCGTCATAATGATGGCGGCGTCTCCGTGGCTGCTTGGTCAGGTCAATTCCAGCATCGTCGTCATCATCTGGCATGAATGCTGCGGGCATGCGGCGCCTCCGAGCCAGCTCGCGGTCGCGCTTGTTGAGACGTGCTTCCAATTGACGCCGAGAAGCCAGGTCAAGGTCGTCATATTCGCCGTCGTCATCAATCATTCGGCCTTGATAGGTCTCTTGGTCGCCGCGTTCGCGTTCGTCATTCATAAAGTTGTCTCCAAAGAGATCGATGCCATCTTCATCCTCGGCCATCTCGTCGGCGTCGTCAATGTCACCAATAAGGTCGTCTTCTGTCTGCAGTTCATCGTCCCCAAGATCATCATTCTCGTTCGTGGGGAGCAAAGGTGGAGAAGAAGGCAGCGCTGAGGAAGTTAGAATCTCTGGTATCCGGAGAGGGAGACTGCTGCTTACCAGCTGGTGATGAGGACATGATCTCGTCTTCTTCATCGCGAGCCCTCTTCCGCCTGCTTGCGTTCCCTGGGCCTCTATTTGCCGCGGACATGCTGGGTCGAAGCGGTGAGCTTGTCAAGTTAGTACTCTTGATACGATCCAAGCATAGGTATAGACACTATCAAATCACATACCTCATGATTTTGCGACTCTATGCAGAAGCCAACCGTTGTAGTCTAGTATGGAAGGGGGTTGAATTGAGTAGGGAGAGCCCCAGGTGCGCAGTTCTTAAAACCACTTTACGCGCGAAGACGCGTCCCAAGAAACACGCTAAAGCCCATTCGAAGTGGGGAATTGAGGTCATTTCCAGTTCGAGTCTCTCTCGCCTCGCATGCGGTGCAACCTTCAGTAATAATATCGAATATCTCCTCTACTTGTCTTTTTCTCTGATATTCTCGATTGTGAAGATGAACACTGTGCCCGGAATGGATGAATTGAAGCCATCTCAAGACTCACAAACCGCATCCGAGTTAGTCCCCTGTCAAACAATTCGGCGCTTCTCATTGACACTGACATTTCCAGTTTCATTGATCAACAACTAGCCCTTGAGGCTGATGCGCGAGAGGTGCTTCCATACGTATGGCTTTATCCCCTGGGTCACTAGAAGCAACAATCAGGTCGCTAATATCTCCTACAGAAATTCGACAAGTGCACCAATATTCTCGGGCCGCTGCGCCAGAACGTCTTTGCCTGTCTGACATGCAGCCCTCCACCCGCTTCTGCAGCGCAAGTCTACACGCCCGCCGGAGTCTGCTACGCATGCTCCATATCTTGCCATGGTGAACACACTCTCGTTGAGTTGTTCTCACGCCGCAATTTCGTCTGCGACTGTGGCACTAGCCGATTGCCGTCGACCTCGCCTTGCACTTTACGATCCGATCCCGTGACGGGAAGTCGAGGGGTACATTCGCAGGATCCGCGCAAGGGAAATCATTACAACCACAACTTTCAGAATCGCTTTTGCGCGTGCGGCGAGGAATATGATGCGGAGACAGAGAAGGGAACCATGTTCCAATGTCTGGGTTTGGGCTCGGTTGAAAGTGGTGGGTGTGGAGAAGACTGGTACCACCCAGAGTGCCTGATGGGCTTGCCCAGAGACTGGTACAAGTCGGTCAGCTCGAACCAAAAAGCAGAAGATGGGAGACAGAAAGGGCAGGGGGCCGAGGATAAAGAGGCAGAAGAACCCAGCCATCCAGTTCCGCCAGGCTTCCCGAACGAAGATGACTTTGAGACCATGATATGCTACAAATGTGTGGAGTCCAATCCCTGGATCAAGAAGTACGCTGGCACACCAGGATTTCTGCCCGCTGTATTCAAAAAGGACCTCCAGAGGCCCACAGTGGACGACCCTTCTGACTCGAGCACGCAATTGGAAGGCGCATCGACATCGACCGCACCTGTTTCCCTCAAACGCAAAGCCTCCGACGACGACATCGAAGCCGGACCACCTAGCCCCTCAAAACGCGTTAGGAACGACGATAAATCCACCGAGATTCCCTCCACAGAACCTACAGACGCTGACACCGAATCGAAGCCCAAACGCAAGCACGAACTCCTTCCCGCTTCGGCCCCGACGGGGATTTTCTCGCTGTTCCTGCGCGCAGACTTCCGCGACCACTTCTGCCACTGCCCGCAATGCTACCCACACCTGGGTCCGCACCCGCAACTCCTGGAAGAGGAAGACACGTACGAACCGTCGCTGTCGTCCGAAGGGGCATCCTCACACGAGAACGGTGGTGGTGGTGGCGGTGGTCATTCGCGATCCTCGCGTGCCTCGCTGCTGGAGAGAGGCGAAGCCGCCCTGTCCAACATGGACCGCGTCCGCGCAATCGAAGGCGTCATGGTCTACAACCACCTGCGCGACAAGGTCAAGGAGTTCCTCAAGCCGTACGCGGAGAGCGGCCAGGCCGTCAGCGCCGAGGATATCAAGGCCTACTTTGAGAAACTCAGAGGCGACGAAGCGGCCATCAAGGAGGCCAAGGAAAGGGATGGCAGGGCCAATGGCCACTTTCACGGCGGCGGAAGTGGCGGTGGGGGAGACGCCGAGGGTGGAGGTGAGGGCGACAGGGCTACAAGGAGGGAACAGTCTGGGTATTGAACAATGGTCGAAAAAGCGCCAACTGTCCGAAGGCCCCCTTTTGCACCGCGCGATGTATGAAATGCGCGCTGGCGGTCATCGGAGAAGAGAGCTGAAGACAGGTTATCCAAAGACAGCATCTACAACTATAATTGTGTACCTGGCACGTCGGAATCGGCGTTCAAATCCACGTCAATGCTCAATTTCGGATCTCTCAATTCTGATGGATGTGGAAAGGGGAAGTGTAGAACAAAAAGTCGATCCTGGAAAGCACCTTTGTATTCGGGTTCACTCGCTCGCAGCAGCAATAGCAGCAGCAGTGGTCGTCACCGCGTCCACAGGTCTAGGACAATGTTGATGATTGGGGTTTTGGCCTTGAAGCTCTTTCAGTTGCGAACAATCCCTTCTAACTCCTTGTTCCACTCAATTGATGCTGTTTTCCCCCAGCCCGTCTTTGGCTGCTCTTCATTGTTGATGATATTAATACTCTGTACATTTCTGTCCCTTCTGATTCTCCTCCAGGTCCAGTCTTGCAGTTGGAGTACAAATGCCGAATAGTTCGATGTGTCGCAAGAGCCCTGTTGAACATTATTGCTGGTCTCCTGCTCTGAAACGCCTCAGTTGTCACTTGAAAATGCGTCCTTCTTCGAAGCACTAGCCTTCCATCTGCCCTGCATGGCTCGCTGTAGCCTCTGCGCTTATTCAGGTAGTCTTGACACTCCCTTCCTCAGCAAGTTTCGCAAGCCGTTCCCGCGTTTTCCTGTATGGTCCTCTCGGCCCTCTCTGGCCCCCGCGTTTCTTTTGGTTGGCGGTTCTCCTCTGCACTGTCCTTCCCGACCGAGTCGTCCTGGATGTCTGTTCGCTCGTCGTGCTCGAAAGTGATGCCTTATTTCCTTGGTCCATTTCGACGTCCCCAGAAGTGAGTGGCTTGTGCTGATCAGTTCCAGAGGTTTTTTGGTTAACCACATCATCTACAATGTTCGGGGGAGTGTCCTGGATTTCCTCTGCTGACAGATAAGAGCCTGCACCAGAGCTTGGTAGATGCCTATCACTTTCTGCCAGTGCGGCTAGTTTTGCAGCACATGCGGAGGAAGGGGCAAGAGCGAAGCCTGGGTGAGAAGAAAGGCCGTCGCTGGGATCAGGAACCTCTCCCCTCGTTCGATGCATCGGCGAGCCCCGGAGTCGAGCCTGAAAATCCTGTAAGTCTTCATTTTCGGAAATCGGGGACCACGACGGAGAGACCGGAGATCTTGACTCTAAGATTTCTGGGGGTCCTGTGCCCTCAAGAGTGCCTGTCATAGCTGTTGCTGATTCAACATTAGACGTTTCGTCCTTGACTTTGGTGTTATCGCCGTTGTACCCCAGCGAAATAGCTTTCGAGGGAGTCGCAGAAGTCAGAACGGTTAGCAGTCGTTGAACTTTGCTGGTATCTGGACGAATATCAGATTGAGAAGGCTTTCGCTTTGTGCCTTCGGGTGCCACGGGTCCAGAACCACCTGGACGTGACTGGGGTTTGACTGGGAGACGATTTTCCGGCCTGAAAAGGGTAATGTCGAACATGCCACAGTGCAGAGATCGTTCCACGTTCTCCACTACGGGAGCCGTGCTGAAACCAGATACATCAGTACTGCGTGACGGGGAGAAGAGTGATGAGCTCTCAGACGGATTCGCGGCCCGCTTCAGTGAAAGTGCTGTTGTATTTCCAGAATTAGCAAGTAATGCTTGTTGCCCCCAATTCGCGTGTCTTGGTTTCGTTCTCAAGATTTTTGCCAGCCCGTCCTTGTTCTGTATCCTGAGAACTAGGCGCTGGGGATTTGGTGCATCCCCAATCTGCGTACGTTCTTCTGACAACTGTGAAGCAGGCTGTTGAGAAGCGTCATCACCTTCCAGGTTCCGAACGTGTTCGTTAGCCTTTGAAAGAAATGCCGCCAATGTACCTTCGGAGGCGGAGCAATCACGGGGTTGGTCGACAACCATTGGACCTTCATCTCGTGTCTCGATTTGCGACTTCTGGGAAGTTTCCAGTGTAGAATGAGGAGAGGCAGCTTTGGTTGAGTGCAAACCGGCGTGTGGGACGCCTGTTCGCTTCTCATTGAAGTCTCCAGCATCGAAAAATGGATCCCCTGATGTACCTTGTAACCCACCAACATTGTCGACGATAGCACGGGGATGGGGTGTGATTTTCACCACCAAGTTCGACTTGAAATTTGTCGAGAGAGGCTCGAATGTCGGGCGATGTTTTATCGAATAGACTAAGCTGGCTGGAGTCGTTGGCTTTGTGCTTCGGTTTCCCGCAGTTCTCTTTTTGATCAGATCGTGTTTAGGCTGCGAGTGCCGGTCGCTCGACTTTGCATTAAGGGTCTGATCCGCTTCTGATAGGGATGAATATCCTGAATCAATTGCCAGATGATTGTTCGACAGACTCGGCCTACCCGTAGTGCCGGGGACATGCCTGAAGAGTCCGTCAAACGGCACATCTGAAGGATCTGGCATCCACGTTCCAAGCACTTCCGTCGCAATGCCACGACTAGACAAGAATTCTCTTGCCAGGCGGACCTCGGACTCAAATGCTAGCTCATAGTTGCTCGCAAAGACCATGTAGCCAACGTACTCATCGAAGACATCCGCATCAATGACGGAGGGCGGTTGAAGGGGTGCAGAGCCTTCAGCGCTAGCTTTGGAACAGTAGTCCCAGATCTCCGCAACCGTAGCTGGATGCAAAACCCGCATGCTCACAGCCTTCTCGATCTGGAACGCTTCATGCTCCGTCAATCCCAAAAGGATGGGTGCAAGTTTCGAGGGATAGCTTCCCGATAGAGCTTTGTAGATATGAGACTGCAGGGACAGTGGGAGGTGGTCCCATGTTACAACGCAATTTGTCTGTAAAGTATCAGCTGACATGAGCTTTGGGCGGTTGAGTAGTCCACAGACATTTGAGCTGGTGGTTAGGACTTCTGCGCCAATCGGGTCATCTACAATTGGTCCCTCGGTTATTTCGGTGTCTTGCTGTACTGTGATGGGTTCAACTGTATGCCATTGCGCTGGAGGGTCGTCTTCTTCGACCGCGCCGCTGCCTGCCAAGTTGATACCGAGACCCTCGAGTCGAAGTGAATGAAGTGTGTCAGGGATGTTCACCATCTCTTCAGGTCTGTCTGAGTCTCTCGCAGCAGGTGTACTGGCAGATGTCAGCGGAAGTGAAGGAAAGGCTGCTGGAGGGTTGTTTGGATTGAACGGGACAATCTGAGCTTTGAGTAAGGTGGGATAAGCTGGCTTTGTTCCATTTCGATTGGGCGATGAGTTGTGCACCTCATCTTCGAAACGTGTGGGCACTGTGACAGTTCTCCTCAGTTGCATGGTGGCATATCAATAAATTCCATATGGTATGAAAGAGAGATCGATAGAGAGGTGAACATGTGAAGCAGTCTGAGCACGATAAAGGAGCGTGGGTGATAACACGTGATGAACGGGGAGTCAGTTACCCAAGACAGGGAGGATGGAAGACAAAAGCAGTTTGGACGGTTGAAAAAACAAGTGTGAACTGTTAGACCAGACCTGGCTGGGTATGTGAAGAGTTGGACAGTGAAGCAGCTGCCAGTGAAGTGCTTGCCTCTGAGGGAGGCGCCTTTGATAAGTTCTTTCTCACGCGACACTCCAAGATAGGAGATCGCGACCTGCTAATCCAGGAGCAGAGGTAAGCTGTGGCCGTGAAATGGGTCATTAGCATTTGATGTGCTGTACTCCTCGATGCTATCCTTCATACGCAGACATACGCCGATGGTGAAGTTCCGTGCTGTCCTGTTTCTTGAAGTGCTTGTTGCTCGAGGTCCTTGTAACGGAAGGTTGCGTTTCTCTCGCACCACTCTTCAAGGGGTTCATACCTTGCTCTCGTGACGATGACAACGGATAGATGGCACGTGACGACTTCATCCGATGATTGAAGTTCTCTTAGAGACGTCCACGGGAGAGAAGTATTGCCAGACAGGTGTTTAAGAAGGGTGATGGCATGCCCCGCTCGATATCATCCGATGGCAGATGTTCCGTTCGTCCTGTTCTTGCTGCGAGGCGTAGGTTCGCATCCATTGCCCAATTAACAGTGTCGAATGTCTCTTTGCGAGAACGCTCATTGTCAATCGAACACGTCCACAAACGGCGCCACCCCTTCCCGAACCTGAGTGCAATCCGTATGCTCAGAAGCAGGGTTCATGTTCTCGTTGGGGTCGTAGAAGTCATCCAAACTGCGCTTGCCTAGTATTCTGGGTGGCATGCTCTCTTTGACGCCGTCAGTCAATGCGCCTGCACTTGAGCCGGAGACCTGGCGTTCAGCTCGAGTGATTGCTTGCAAATCTAGGAGAACATTCTTCGTTTCGTCCGTTAAACTGATACAGAAGCGCTGCGACTGGATGATATGAATGGCAGAGATTGCGTCCACTCCGTAAACAATCATCAAGTATGCGGCTACCAGCAACGGAGATCGGTCATTTCCAGACTCACAAAAGACGAGGACCTTACCACGGACGTCGTTAATGTCTTGGATTGGTGTGCGGGCACATGACATCTCGAGATGGTCATTTATCGCTCGAACAGTCGACTTGACCAGAGGGATGAAATTGCTTGGATGATCAAAGTCCAAAGTCAAGGTCGCAAGCCCCGAGCTCGAAGGAAAGCGTGCAGGATCGAGGAAGGTCGGTCTCGTCAGCAATGATCTGGTAGAGCGAACGGCAACAAGGAGGGTGATGCCCGTTTGCTTTATAAACACGGGATCCTTGGCCGAGCTGCTGGGGCCCAGCAGCAAGAATGGAAGGATACACTGAGCACTTCTGCGCATCTCGTACTGCCATATAAGCATCGAGTGGGTCAAATCCAGCTGGTGACTGGTGACCAGCGCGGTCAAGAAATCCGGATTACCATATTGCGTGGAGTGTTGGGTAAAAGGCGTGACAAGAACTCTGAAAGAAGGCTTGCCGTCGTGGTACTCGAGAGTAGGTGGTGGTACATAGACTTTGGGGGCTTCCAGATGTCGTTTGTCGCTGTACCTCTGAGCCGCCAGGTAGACACCTGAGTTTGTAGGACAGGGAGAGTCTGGGTTGACCTCGGTGTTTGAAAACATGGCAAATCTAAAGCAAGATCTGAGGTGTTGCAGGAATACTTTGTCTGTAGCTGAATAGAGACCGAGATGGTGGACTCCAGTCTGTTTGTGGTTGGCGTAGTCTGGGGATGTAGAATGCTGTCAAGGCGAAGAGACTTTTGGAGCTTAGAAGGTTGGTACAGGTGATGGATAAGAAATCTCCATTCCTACCATCCTCAGAAGATGTTATGAGTACCTGTAGCGGGTGTCGAGATCAATGATACTTCGTGGACCCAGGACTAGCGTGAAGGAACTCGAAGGATTCTTTTCGCGGTGACCGAATTAGTACAGGAAGATTGCTTGTGCCCGCCTCGTCCAGTCTTAGATTCGCCAGTGTAGGAGAGTCGATGACTAGAGGGAGGAAGAAGAGCAATACGGAGTGTATGGCGAGATGCGGCAGTGAATCGAATCGAGGCCTGCCAACGTACTGAGTAGAGGACGCTGGTTCATGGTCTGGCCGTGGATTTGGAGATGTGGTTGTGGATGTCATTATGGAGGGAAGGGAAGTGAAGCCAAGTTCCCTGCCGCCTGCTTGGGAGCGCCGCAGCTGCGCCACCCGCCTCAACCACTACAAGTACCGAATACAAGTGAGGTACCTTGTACCGAGTAGACAATTTTCCACTCAAATGACCTACATACCCGTCGTCTTATAGACTCTCTTTCTTGTATAATCGAGTTGAATTAACTGTCCAACTTGGTTTATCCCCCTTATTTGGTGGAGCTCATATAGTACAGTAATGCAGCACAATGTGCCACTTTGCCACCAAGTCTATCATCATTTCATAACCCATCCCACGAACATTATGGCCATTTCTTGCTCGTTATTGGCCTTTGGTCCGGGATCCAGTGCTTCCAGCATCTTTAGGAGGCTGCGATAGCGCCCGCTTTTCATGCTGTTGTTTGTCGCGCTTTAATTGTCTTTCTACTTGCCAAATTGCCCTCTCAACCTCTCCACTCAGCTCTGGCACTCCTGTCACTTTGGCCACAAGGTCGTGGCTGTCTGCAGGGAGGATGATTTTTTCAGGAGGTGCACTGCCGTCTAGGACTTGGCTTAGCGTGACAAACGTGAAATCCGGTGCATCAGGTGCCACCTGCTCATACAAGTCCTCAATCTTCGGCGGCGAAATTGGTCGAAAAAGTCGATTATCCAGGATGAAATCCAAGTGATCGGAACCTTTCAAAGCTGGCAGCCTGTTAGCAAACATGTTGGTTGCCAAGAGATCCTGCCAATTACCTTTCCAATGAGACCAACACCGATATGCAGCATAGAAAAAGGGGAAATTGGGAATTCTGTTGCTCGTTAGCCATGCTGATGGGCTCATGGACAGGGAAGAGTAGGGCAAGACCATACACAGGCACCAGTGCAAAGGGTATGCAGAGTGGCATGGCGACCATGCTTCCGATGAACCGATTCCAGTGCAATTGCTTGCGTTCCCTAGCCAGCCTTGCCAGAACCTTTGGCACATCGTCTTTGTGCATGATATTACCAGGGTAGATGACATCGAATTTCTTGCCTTGTGCGATCTGCTCGGCCTGCAGTTTGGGATTGGAAGGAGGAAAGCTCTTTAATCCCCATTCCTGGTAAGGTATACGCTGCAAGCCTTGGTTGCCATAGTGGACAACTGTTTTTCGCCATCCTCTATCTGCTGCTTCCCACTTGGCCCATGTCTCAGCAGCCTTCGCTGTAATTCGATCGGCGATAGTTGGTTTCGCATTGGGCTTTGGAGCAGCGCGTTGACAGAAGACGAGTGCTTGTCGCGTGGTGAGAGGTAGGAGAAAGATTCGCATAGCCGCGACGACTGAGCACTGGAGGTCAGGGGAACCGAGAATGCGACCGATTTGCGCCGTTCAGGGAAGTTTCGATGAAATCATGGTCGAGACAGCATGCTGTCCGAAATATTAGTGGAGCAACACCAGTAAAGCTGAAGATGAGCGACGAGAAGTTCAATATCTCCCTCCCCTGATGTTGCTGGAGGCTGAAGAAACGAATTGTAGCTGCAATCTGGCCTTTGTGCAGGTATGTACTTGGTAGCGACTATTGCGCAAACAAAATCCTCATCGAGTAAGATTATATATTACAAGATCTACCAACGTCATGGCTGAATCCCATGCATTGATTCGCCCCAAAGCTTCCCAGGGGCCAAGGCAGAACGCGCTCTAGGGCGTCACCTAGGCAGCACCAAGGCAAGTGTTCCCACAGCCATCTGCGGCAAGCAAAAGCCCCCATTCGCCAGATGAGCTTACTCCAAGGTTCCTCCGTGATGAATGATCAGCCTCCTACTAATAAAGGCAGGTCAAACTCCCCATGTGGCATATGGTGCAGCACTACCTAATATATCTTTCTGTCTATAGGCCTTAAAAGAGCGATCTCTATCCAACGCCGTTGCTACAATACCGGAGAAGGTCTTGACTGAGCATTGACACGACCTCCTCCGACTTCCACCAGGCGATTTTACGCGACCGACTACCCTCGATATGCCCTCACAAGCCCGCGGCCCTTGAACCTCTTTTTGCCGGAACACCCAGATTTCTGGGTACTCCTACGTTTCTAATCGGTCATTCACATGGCCACTGAAGCGGGCTTCCCATGGCAAGCGCCATCAAGAGATCCCGAGAAGGCCGCGTTGCCAGTGCCGGATCGCAACACCGTCCCTCAACCAACCACGCAAGAAGGAGAACCAACATCCCCCACCAAGACTGCGGCGTTGCAACAACAGTCCCAGCCTCGGAAGAATATCAACTCGCAAGGGAAGCATCGGCATGCTGTAACTAGAGGCCCTCCGCGAGCAGGCCTGTCAACTGCGCTCAGTACGCAGTCAGAACCGGCCAGGGCAAAACCAACATCGCCGCTCCCAGTTCGAACCATTCCCCGTAGGTCACTGTCTCGCTCCGGTCAGACTCTGGTGAACAAGGTTAACACTTTCGAGCAGCTTGGATAAGAGATGCGGATGAGGATGATCTGTGCGATCCCCAATTCCAGGGCCCGGACACCCCACATGCGGCGTTGGTTGCTCAACATCATTACAGCTCGACCACAGCAAGGCGGCCCATTATATCAAGCGGGCAATCTCACGAGGAGGGCTACGCTACACCGTCAGGCAAGGTCACACCCCCGCGAACTTCGAGATGGATGTCCTTTGCCCAACCCAGCGCCTACCCACGAGAGAATTTCAATAGTGAAAAGGTGGACACGGATTGGCTCAACCAGAATTTTACCGACTACTCCAAA